GTCCCATGGGTTCTTACTATTTATAATTCATTTCAAGATTTCTTTTTTTTGTTTTGTTTTTTGGGTATGCGCCCCTAGCGGGAACCGAACCCGGAACTCTCTGGTCCGCAGGCCAATGTTCCAACTGCTGAGCCAAACCGGCCAGCGCTCAAGATTTCTTTTAATTGGAATCATCATTTCCCAATTTCTGTATTATATATTCTAATTTCCTTTGTTGAGTGCCTTAAGAAGTATAAATTAATATGCAGGCAAGATCCTCCTGCTTATTTTTTTAAATTACAGTTTACTTTCAATATTATTTTGTATTAGCTTCAGGTGTACAGCATAGTGGTTAGACAGTCATATACTTTACAAAGTATTCCCCCTTCCCCCATATTTCCAGTACCCACCTGGCACTATACATAGTTATTACAATACTACTAACTATATTTTCTATGCTGTACTTTACATGCTTGTGACTATTTCGTAACTACCAATGTGCACATCTTAATCCCTTCACCCTTTTTATCCAGTTTTCTAACCCTCTTCCCTCTGGCAATCATCAGTCTGTTCTCTGTATCTATTAATCTGTTTCTGTTTTGTTTGTTCTTTAGATTCCACATATAAGTGAAATCATATGGCATTTGTCTTTTTCTGACTGACTTATTTCATTTAGCATAATGCCCTCTAGGTCCATTCATACTGTTGCATATGGTAAGATTTCGTTGTTTTCCTCCTGCTTATTTTTAATCATTACTAAAAATTTTTTAAATTAATTTTAGAGAGAAAGGAAGGGTGGGGGAGAGAAACAATGGTTTATTGTTCCACTTATTTATGCATTCATTGATTGATTCTTGTATGTGCCCTGACTGGGGATCAAACCTACAACCTTGGCATATTGGGATGATGCTCTAACAACTGAGCAACCCAGCCTGAGCTCCTCCTACTTATTTTTAAATTGACTATTCTCACAGCAATAACTGTGGTTGATTCAAAACAAGGACTGTCTATTATCTACACAGAAAACTTTCTCTGCACTATCATTTGAGTGTCCCTAAATACCCTATTATTTGAAGGCCAAGAAAATAGGTCTTAGGCTCTATCCAACACTCCCCATGAGTGCCGCAGGGATGCCCTCCTCTCCCCTAATTATGTTCTTCTTATGACCAGTCCATTAAGCCCATGTTTCCAGAGGATCTGGTATGATGATACGTAGGCAGGAGTAAAAAGGAGGAGGAAAGCATTTCAGGGGCAGCAGAGGAAAAAGGATCTGCAGAGAGAAGCTGAGACATCTCCCTGCATGAATCATTTGGGCAAGTAAAAAGCCTTCTGTATCTATGCAGAAAGCAGATAAGCTGCTACATGAGGGGCAAGATTAAACTTCATGGAGTTCTTTGGAGTAATAGAACAAAAAAACATCTAGGAATCAAGACAATAAAGGAAATTTTATCTTTCCCTTCCCTGAAAAGAAACTTATCGAAAAGATAAAAAGACCCAAAAGGAAATGTAAGAGGGAGCCCATTTCTAACTGTACACTTCATTTCTTTGTTTTTTTCCCACCCCTTCCTCAGGTTTATAAGTTCTTACCTTGGTCAGCTTATGCCTGCTACTACCCAATGATGACTTCTGGGAAGCTATGTGAGGAAACCAAGTCTTTAACATTCCTTCCACCTGTAGCAGGGTTCCCAGATAACGCTCCCTGTGAAAGAAACATTAAAAAAAAAAAAAAATTGTGAAAAAAGTAACATGACAGAATTGAAAACATCTCCTTTTTTATGAAGTACTGAGGAAAGAATCAGGAGAACTTACCCCATCTGTGGCTTCTGCAAAACTCCTACAATACGCTGGATCCTGTCCATTGCCACGCTCTGCTGGAAACTGCTCAATCCTGGGTTCAGGGAGTGAGAAAGAAATCAAGTAGTAAACTTCAAGAATTTAGTCAGGTAAAGGAAGGACAGAAGGGGGTTAAAATGGATTCACCCAAAGAAATTAAATCACAGAAAAAAATAAAAGAATAATCTAGGACCCAAACAAAAACTTAAGAGAAATACATATTTATTTTAAGAGAGAGAGAGAGAGAGAGAGAGATGAACCTAGCTCAGATTAATGCAACTAACCTCTTTCAAAGCGACCCATCTTCAGCCCATTCAGTAGGTCTGTGAGAGGACGTATGAATCCCTGGAGCTCTTTACACTGTAAGAAAACAGGACAAAGGCTATGAGAAGACCAAGCACTGCCTACACCAGTACTGATTTTTCTTCCATTTCCAAATCTGGGAGCCAATACCATCCTCATAGGGTCCTTACCAGCCAGCAGGTGCTAAGGCACTCTAGCAGTGTCTTCTTTCCCCAGCTTTCTCTTACCTTTTGAGCAAAGAGCAGGTCTCCTTCTGTGGTACATCCACGGATGTTTAGACCAGTCTCCAATTCACGACCTCTTGATCTTTTGATCCCAGATCCTGCCATAGGAGAATCCAAGCACCGCTCTTGCGAGTGAGATGCTGTATGTTGGTTACTGGAAACCTTGGGTCGTCGCCTGCGGCGGACAGGACCGGGGCTGGGCCGAGAACCTCCCTTGTGCCCAACAGTGTCTGTCCTGGGGCCATGGGCCCCTTTGTCCTCCCCCTCACTATCGGAGGGGAAGCCAAAGTCGCTGTTCACTGGGGACGTGGAAAAAGAGGAAGGGAGAGAGGAGGAAGAATAGGAAGAAACGCTAGATGGAGAATCCATAGGTTCAGAAGCAGGGGCTGGAGAGCAGCTCCTGGAGTACCCAAGGATCGGACCTGCAACTGAAGAGCAAAGCGAAGGAGTTTGAAACCACAACCTGAGAATTAGGAAATGGACTGGGAGACTGGGGTGTACTGTACAGGATAATCATCTCTCTTCTCTCCCTCCCCAATATGACCTGTCTTAGAGACAATAGAAAAAGCCATCTCCCCTGCCTCCATTAAGAAGCTGGACTGCCTTTCTGGCCTCGCAGCGTCAGCTCTTAGCCCGACAGACTTCTGTTCTTTCTTTCCTCACTTCAGAGTAAATCCTTGACGTAACCCCTTCCCCAGTTCGGCTCATTGTTTGCCTGCTCTGTTCCGAGCCTGAATCCGCAGCAAACCTCTAAACCCGAGGTCATGCCACCGGTGGACGTTAAATCTCCGGCACCGGAACCCACCTAGAGACTCCGCAGGAACCGCCTCGCAGAGAGTCCCCTCCCCCGCCCCGGGGGCCCAAGCCTCTCCCCAGTCTTTCTAATCAGATTCCCTGCTCCGGACCCTCTCCGGTCACTGCCACGTGATACGATCCCTCCCAATACCAAGAGATCCCTAAACCCACTCTCTCCGGGGCTGATCCTCCCGCGCACACCGCTACCGGTCCTCCGGGTCTCCTCACCTGTGACGGTCGGCTCAGCTCCGACTGTCTCCAGCTCCTCACAGCCTCCGGGTCTCAGCTACCCACCTCCGCCTCAGTCCCAGTGGGCCCCGCCCCTTACCCCTCCCAGACACGTGCAGCTCTGCACGTGCCTTCCCCCCTGCGTACACAGACCTCGTACTCTCATTGGTCCTCTAGCCGGTGGCACGTGACTGTAGTTACTGAAGTTTCTATCCCATTTGCTACAGCAATACAGGGGCTCGGCCAATAGAGAGGCAGTCAGGTGACGATTGGCTGGAAGGGCAGCATTCCGTGCTCCGCCCCTACATGCGGCTCGCAGAGAGGACCCGGTGATGAGAAAAGGAGGAGGATGGAGAAAGAGTGGAAAAGAAGGGAGGGGAGTAAAAAGGCGGAACCCATGGCCTTAAATAGGATTGTGGTGCGCCGGAAACGCGTGGCTAGAGTGTGCAGACTGGTTGTGTGACCCGAGTTGCGCGCCTCTAGATACGGGGTTTCTGGCTCCCCGCGAGCCGACCCTTCCACCCCCTCCTTGAGCACCTCCGCTCACGAGTGCAGCACGTGGAGCCATCAGCGACTTGCATTTGCAACGTGTGTGAGAACAGATGCGTGCCACTGTGTATCCTCTCCACCTCGCGGCGGCCCAGCCCTCGTGATTCCCCGGTCTCTTTCACCGTACCCTCCTCCTCTTTCTCCTACAAGTTGGGTGCCTCCTGCCCTGCTGGGTGAGGAGGGTGGGGACTGCCGCCGAGAACACCGCGTTCTCTCCCGGGCTCCCGCTGGGGCGGCTCCTCCAGCCCTTTCCTTACATAACCCGCGTGCACGTTACCAGCTCAGATGCCAGCCCGCCACGACTCTAGAGGTCAAAGCCGAACTCGATTGTTCCTGACGTTTCTACCCTGGCTCCTAGGGCTCTGCGCTCTGAATTCTGTGATTCCTAGTAAGAGAACCGAGTGGGGAAGGTCCCTGATCTTCTAAGTTATATGTCTGTCTAGTTTCAGTTTCTTCATTGGTCCCCCAGGGAAGATTCTAAAGGTTTTGAAGGAGGGAAGGTGGCAAGTCCGGAGTTCTACTCTTCGCAGCCCCTTGCAGTATTGAAACGGTGCAGTGGAGAGAGAAGGGGATAGGGGATCAGGGACTCTAGGCTAATTGAAGCTGTGACAGAAGAGACCGCAAGGGGGCAGCCCAGTTCTAATTAGGGTCCCGAGGATAGAGGAAAAAAATTAATGTCCCTGCCTGCCCTAATTTCAAACTGGAAAAGACACATTGGGGGGGGGGGGGGGTTTGAGGAGGGTGTGAATTTTTATAATCTAGTCTAAGTAGTTTTTGATATTTTACATGTTTAACAATGTGCTTATTTTATAAAAAGAAAAAAGTTTCTAAATAAACTTCAACTCTCCCCAAACACAGTTTTAATACCATATATAATAAAATAAAGCAATAGAATTAGAGGGAATTATGGACTGTAAATAAACCTGTTGTCTGTGGGTGCTCTTCTCTGTTCTTTCCAAAATTTCAGGTCCTAACAACTCCCTCTAATACTATTGTCACCTAACTCCCTTTCTAAATTACCCTTCCCACCCCATATTCTGGTGCTCTCTTTAGTGTTGTGGCTTTAGAACAGACCCTCATGAAGGAATAGTGAGTAACCAGATTATTTCATTTATTTATTTTATCTTCCAATTTCCTCTTCCCAAATCCCCATCCAAAGAGTCATAGATAGCAGCCTTCTCTCCTAAAAAAGCAAAGAAAGGGGGAAAAAACAACAAAACCAGGTTCAAGGGACTCAGGAAAACCCTCCACGCCCCCCATTTCTTTGAAAACTCCCCAGATTTTATGTTCTCAGCTAAATTTCTCCATGACAGCTTCTGGAAGGTGTGTCCCCTTCCCTTTTCACCCCTTCCTTCTGCTAAATCTCTTCATGCCCCATTGTTATTTAGAATCCCAACTTAAATTCCTTCCTTATAATACAGGTTTCTGTTTTCTCCTCCTTTCCCCCACCTCTCCCCTACATTAGGGAACTGCCACCTCTTCAGCTTCTGAACTTTGCCCTCTTGATTCTGCTAGGTTATGGGACCCCTCCCATTTTGCCCTCTGGCACTTGCCATGCCTTAAACTACCACCAGGCTGGAAACCAGGAGAGGTTTCTTTTCCAGTCCACCTGCTTCTGCTCTAGGAGGTCCTGAAGTTCTCCCAGTTCAAAACAAATGATTATTCTCATTACAAAAGTCTTTGCCTTGACATCTCCTTAGGTAGATAATAAAAGTTTTTCTAAATGCGGCTTCTCTTCTTTTAATCATCTGAGAATTAACCAGGCTGGAAACACCAGCCAGAAATAGTAAAACTTGCTTCACAGACTTCCCCACAGCCAGCGGCTGCACTCTCACCTTCTACATGAAATATATCCACCTCTGAAGGAGGGCCCAGGACAGGAGGAGGGAAATGGGACTCTGCAGACTGGATACAGCATGGTTCTTATCTGGACTCTGCTAAAATACAGATATCACACCATAGTAGACCAGCATCACCCTTCCTACTATCCTCTTGCCCTCTGGAAAGATAGCTCTCTCTTTTTTTTTAATTCTCACCAGAGGACATTTTTGCATTTATCTTCAGATAGAGTGGGAGGGAGAGAGGGAGAGAAACATCAACTGGTTGCCACCCCCACGACCCCAGCTGGGGCCGTAGACAAACTGCAACCGAGGTATCATGCCCTTAGTGGGAACCAAACCCAAGTCTCTCTGGTCGGGGGGGCTGATGCTCTAACCGCTGAGCCAAAACAGCCAGGGTGATAGCCATGTCTTTCTTTATACCAACTTTTGTCTTCCTTTCCTCTGAGCATAGAGAAAGACCAGCCTTCCTCCCCATATTATAAAGAATCCTTTCCTCTGTGTCTTTCAACCATTCCTGACCATACCAGGGAGGCCTAACTCAATTCAATATGTATTTTTATTTATGTGCTTGTCACTGTGCTACATGCTATAGGAGGGATATAAATATGATTAAGACATGGCTCCTACTCAAGACATTTACAACCTAAAGGGAGTATACTGTACACTTTAAAATATTCATCTGTGGCCCAGCCGGTGTGGCTCAGTTGGTTGAACATTGTTCCACACACCAAGAGGTTGCCAGCTTTCTTAGGGCATATGCAGGGATTGGGTTGTGGGCTCAGTCTCCAGTAGGGGACATGAAGGAGGCATCGGATCGATGATGTTTCTCTCTCATTGATATTTCTATCTCTCTCTACCTCTCCCTTCCTCGCTTCCTCTCTCTCTAAAATCAATTTTAAAACATTAAAAAAGATTTATCTGTTCTTGTCATCAATCATCAACCTTCTATTCCTCCCATCTGTGTTCAACTATATTCAGGCTGTACTTTGGTCCTGTTGCCTTTTCTAGCTGTTGCTTCTCTTTTTTTCATTTCCAGATTTCACAAATGGTTGGTCTATGCTCTTCCTCACAATGACCTCCCTCTCTAATTCCACAAAATCTAGCTTTTGCTCCAACCACTCACTTAAAACTGCTTTTTGGGAGGTTATGAATAATCTCCTCCTTGGCCTCTTGGTAACATTTCATTGATTATATTAAACTTTTTCTTCAAGAGTATAATATAAATTCGGCTATCTGTATTTCTTGGTTGATTTCTCTATCTCCTTCTACCAGCATAGGCGTTGGCCTTTTGGTCTTCTGTGTGTACAGGCTCTACTGAGCTCATCTACTTTCATAACTGTGACTTTGCACTTAGAACTGCAGTGCTGGCCTAATTCCACTACCTTTAGGATAGCCTCACAGGGCTGTCACCATAAGTTCAGCTTGGCCAATACCAAATTTATAACCACTTCTAAAACACTCTGACCTCCCACTTCCCATTTTGGTTAACCATGTCCCCAGACATCCATGTTTAAAACATAAGTTATTTTAACTCTCTCCTCATTTAGGCCTCATATGAAATTATAACAAAAACAAAGTGTTTTCTTCTCCTTCTTCTTCTTCTTCTTCTTCTTCTTCTTCTTCTTCTTCTTCAAAATAGTTCTTATTTTTCTCTTCTCCATTCAAAATTTTCCTGCCCTAGTCCAGGTCTTTAATGAATTATTTTGGGAATGATGCAAATCTCACTAATCTCTCTTTACTCCATTGCATCTTGTTTAGAACCAGACAAATAGTTTCTTGTTCAGATAGAGTGGGAGGGAGAAAGAGGAAGAGAGAGAGAGAAAGAGAAACATCGATGTGAAAGGGACACATCGAATGGTTGCCACCTGCACAACCCAACCAGGGCCAAGGTCAAACTGCAACTGAGTTACATGCTCTTAGCGGGAACTGAAACCGGGTCTCTCTGGACCGCAGGCCGACGCCCTAACCGCTAAGCCAAACTGGACAGGGCTAGGCTCCCTATTTCTTATAAGTCCAAACTTCAGCCTGACACTTCAGATTCTCTATAATTTTGCCCTATCTTCCATATGTGAAATCACCAAGCAAATGTTAAAAGTTTTGTAAATTTAATTTTCCTCTTAATTTCCCACTGTTTCTTTCCATATACCCTCTCCTTCAGGCAGAACTCATCCACAAAACATGTCATGCTTGTTCTGTTCCCCCACTCCTACCCCCCTCCCCCGTCAATGCAGCTCTTCTATTCTTAGAATAACTATTCTTTTTTCTTAGTTGCTTTCATCCATTTATAACGTACCACCAATCTAAAGTTTACTTATTCTTCAAAGTGTATCTCAAGCACAATCACCTTCTAAAAGTCTTCCAGACAACTCCTGTACTGATCTCTCTCCTTCTACTGTCTAAAGCACTTGTCTATGTCATATGCTCTCAAATTTGTATGTAATTTAACATAGTTATAAATTTTTTCATTTTGTTCTAAATGTTTGTAAGCTGGGCCCTGGCCAGTTTGGCTCAGCGGTTAGAGCGTTGACCTGTGGTCCAGAGAGACCTGGGTTCGGTTCCTGCTAAGGGCATGTACCTCGGTTGCAGTTTGTCCCCAGCCCTGGTTGGTTGTGCGGGTGGCAGCCACTCAATGTGTCCCTTTCACGTCGATGTTTCTCTCTCTCTCTCTTCCTCTCTCTCCCTCCCACTCTATCTGAACAAAAAAATGGAAAAATGTCCTTGGGTGAGGATAACAATAAATAAATAAATAAATAGATAAATAGATAAATGAATAAATAAATAAATAAATGTTTGTAAGCTGGGGTTTTATAAATACTTTGAGGGCAATAATGACATCACAGATTTATGTTTCAGCAGCAGCAGCATCCTTAGTAACTTTAGGCATGGGTTACATATATGTAGGTTAGATACGTTACATATTGAACTGAAATTTAAGTGCGTCAAATATTCCCAGGGTTCTGTATATAGGGTTAGTATTAAATCTCAGTGAAAGAAATGATGGCCAAGCCCTGGCCAGTTTGGCTCAGCGGTTAGAGCGTCGGCCTGCGGTCCGGAGAGACCCGGGTTTGGTTCCCGCTAAGGGCATGTACTTCGGTTGCAGTTTGTCCCCGGCCCTGGTTGGTCGTGCGGGTGGCAGCCACTCGATGTGTCCCTTCATGTCGATGTTTCTCTCTCTCTCCCTTCCTCTCTCTCCCTCCCACTCTATCTGTACAAAAAAAATGGAAAAATGTTCTCGGGTGAGGATAAAAAAAAAAGAAAAAAAAAAAAAGAAATGATGGCCAAGCTGAGATGAACACCTGCATTACAATACTAGTTATTTGGTTCCCCCATCCACCGAAACCTGGTATTCCAGTTCTTTCTTGCTCCATGTCACCAGTCCTGGGATCTATCCAGGGTAAGGGATGTCTCATCTCCCTCCCATCTTATCCCCAATTAACTCACTGGTTCCGTCAGCACTGGTTTCACTGTTATAGGCCTCTGATGGTCTGCATGTTCTGTTTCACGATTAGTGGTAGTCTCTTCTGTTTTCACTGTCTCCTTATCCAACCTGTTCTGTCCTCAGAAGGATTAGGAAACAAAGAGTTATCATTGACTCCATCCAATATGCTCATAGACTCTCTAAAGTTCTTCTCTCCTTCACCTCTCCTGTTCCCCAAATCCCACCTGCCCTCTAAGACTTAAGCTCCTGACTTGACATTTGCATGGATTGTATACCCATCCCATTCACCAATTCCCTTGACTCAAGGACTGCTCCTCCCTTTCAGTGTCTTAATCTACTGGGTTCTGGCTTCATTCTCTTTCCCAGCTATGATAACTGGTCTGTTTTGTGTTCACTACCCAGTTTCACTTTACCTAACTCATTTTTATTTCTGCTAATAATTTTAATTTCAACATTGCCCAGTTCCTTTTTAACTATTACCTATCCTGATCCTCCTAGATGTCACTCACCAGCCTGTCCTCTGACTCAAATATGGAGTAATCAACAGTGAAATTTGCACCAAAGTCATCTGGGGAGGAGAAAACAATTAGTAGTAACAAAAGAGAAAGGTAGTACTACATCTAGAAGTGAGAAGAGGAAGAAATTGCCCAGAACACTTCAACTTGCTCATGTTGTAAAATGTACTAGTATACTCTAATTCAAATGAACTTTAATGTGAAAAATGTTTGTGAATGTGTATGTATTTGTATTTTCTTTCTTTTATCTTTAGAGAGAGAAGAAGGGAGAGAGAGAGAAAGAAACATTGATATGAGAGAGGAACATTGATCTGTTGCCTCCCGTACACACCCCGACTGGGGATCAAACCCGCAACCTGGGTATGTGCCCTGACTGGAAATCAAACCCACCACCTTTCAGTGTACAGGACAACACTCCAACCAACTGAGCCATACCGGCCAGGGCTATAGATTTGTATGTTCAATCTGACACCTAAAATAATTTACAAATTTGAAAATTTTCAAATTGTTTCAACCAGTTTCCAAAGAATTGAAAATTGCTATCTTTGGAAATAACATCATGAACCTTGATAGTCTTTGCTCATAGCAAAATTTGTCTCTGACCCAATTGCTCTATTGAAAAGGGAAAGACCAAGTCTCAGAACTAAATATCCCTCAAACCTCTCTCCATCCTGCTAAGGGTCAAAGCCTTATACATACTCACCATAATTGGGGGTGATTGTGTAATAATAGATCACCTGATAATAATCATCCTCTTCCAGTCCTTCTTCATCCTCATATTTTTGTCCTATGGAGACAAGGACTAGAGGTCAAAGGGTATCTGAAACTCCTTAGCAACAGAAGGACACAAGGTTGATCTCAGCTCTATCAGTTTCCTTTCTCTCTGCCTCACCTCCAAGGGTCAGACTATCTCTCTGTTTCTGCACCTCTAAAACCTTCTCAGTCTTCTGGGCTTCATCTCTGTGATGAGGCTTGTCTCTCTATGCCTTTTAATCCAGTGGCAGCTGTCTCTCAATGGCATGGAGGGAAAAAAGGAACTTCCAGAACAGAAAACAGGTCCCTTCACATACTGTAAACTCAAAACAAGAACTAAACCTAAAAAAAGATAGGAAGTAGAGAGAGAGAGAGAGAGAGAGAGAGAGAGACTAGAAATTAAGAACTCCATATCTACTATTCAGTATGCTCCAGACTGTATTGTATTTAAGCTAAGGCAATAAAAATAATCTAATTGGAACAGCAAAAAGAAGAAAAAAAAAAGGATCATATAAGGAATGTCTGAGTTCTCTCATTGGTGTCTCTCACAAATAATGGACACATACACTGTTAGATTTTGGACTTGTATTTTAGTTCCAGTTTCACTGCTAACTAGCAGAATAACTCAGAAAAAGCTATTTAACTTCTGTTTTCTTAAAATGAGTCAGCTGGACTAAATGGCCAGTCTATATTCATTTTTCTTCCTTCCCAGGACTGAAAATATGTAGCTTTGACATGATTGGGTCTAGAACTCTAGGCCTCCTGCTAAAACACTTCCCTAAGCTCCTTGAAGTCTCTTCCTTAACCAGAAGCAATGACACAAGAATCTGGAGGAAAAGGAAACAATAAGAGCACCTGGCAGACTAGGAACAAAGGAGGGAAGGAGCCGAGCTACTTTTTGGATTCTGTCCCTGAAGGCACCCAGTTCGTCACTACCCTAAAGGTCACCTCCACTTCTATCTCTTTACTAATTCAAGGTTTTTTCTCCAGCATTCTGGGAAAGAAGACACCCTGGCTTCTCTCACTAGTTTCAGACTTTCCCACCTTCAGAGTCTACTGATCTCCTTTACTCTCACTTTAGTCCCTCTCATCTTGTTCAACTCTGTGGTGATGGAGAGCTGAATTCACTCTTGTTAGGACTTCTGCGGTTCTGGGGCTTCATCCTCATCAGCTGTCTCTTCTTTGATAGGACTCTGCTTTCCTCCCCCTTTCCTGGCTCTATTTCCCAGATCCTCCTCCACCCCCAACACTGGACTGTAGCACAAATGAGAGAGTGTTATCACTCCCCATTGAATTGGACCTCTTACCTTCTCCTGATTTTTCTTTCTCCCACTCCATTTATGGTAGAAGACCTGGTCCTAAAACTCAGGAAGAGAAGTGAACTTACCCAGGATAAGTGGCACTGCAAGGATGGCTACAAAGAGGACATCCATTCTGATACTGCACTATTACTGTGAAAGTAAAAAAGGAAATTACAGCGTTTCCCACCAAACTTACCCCGCCTCCGGTCTTCCTCCAAAGCAGGGAGGGAGCTGCAGCAACTCTTTTCTCAGGGGGTGGAATTCTCCTCCCACTTGTTGACTGACTAGATTATCAGTCACTATTTGTCCTCAGCCAGAGCTGCCCATATTAAGAGAGGCAAAATGGATTTCCAATGGGAACATGTTCACTGAGCTCTCCCAGCCCTCGATTAGATCCTGTCAGGATTCCTGCTGCCACTAACCAAAACAACAAAACACCCTCACCCTCGCTACTAAGAAGTTTCTCTTACTAAGCCTTCTCCCCTCCTCTCCTTCCTTCTCTCAATCCTCACAAAAAGCTCAACTTCCCTCTCACTGTCCCTACTTATTATCACCATCCAGAGTTGCTCTTCTCTCTAAGGCTTAATTAATCACATTATCTTTCTTCACAGTTGACATGTTCTGAAAAGGGATGAGAATTTTCTAGCTGAAAATAGTTTCTCTTTTCTGCCTGTCTTGGACTGTGAAGTATGCGAGCAATATCAACATCATTGTCTGACTCTCAAAGCACCTGCTACATTGTGTTTGATAAAAATCTCTCAGCCAAGGTCAGTTATTTCCTCTCTGGTAAGTACTGACCTCACCTCACCTCTTTCTTAACTCTCTGGATACAGGATATAATGAAGGGAGAAAGCAGATTGTTTCTTTCCCTGCTGCAGGTGCTACACCTCTCCTATGTTCAGTTACTTGGTATATTCCTTTCATTCCAGCCTATAGGAGTTCATCTTATCCTTTTCTTTGCTTTTGAATTCAATTCAGAAACTTTTAGTAACATACATGCTAGGTACAAAATGCTAGGCTGAGCCTGATAGGCAATTCAGGGTTCACAGGCAAGGGAATAAGAAAAAAAGTAGTATTTTTTTTATTTTGACTTATCTTTATTCTTGAATGTTACAGATGTCCCCTCCTTTTTTCCCACTGACCCCTCCCTCCTCCCTAATCCTGCCCCACTTCTGCCTTCCCCACACTATTGTCAATGTCCATTGGTTATGCATTTATGCATAGAAGTTCTTTGGTTTATCTCATCCCGCCCTCCCTCCCCCCTTCCCTTTGAGGTTCATCAGTCTAACAACCAATTTGTACTTCTTAATTCCTTCATCTTTTTCACCTATGCCTCCAATCCTCGCCCATCTGGCAAGCAACAAAAGTTCTCTGTATCAATGAGTCTGTTTCTGTTCTGCTTGCTCATTTTGTTTGCAGATTCAATTATTGATAGATATGTATTAATTACCATCTTATTGGTCATATTTTTGTTCTTCTCCTTCAAGAAGACCCTTCAACATTTCACATAATACTGGTTTGGTGGTGATGAACTCCTATGGCTTTTTCTTGTCTGGGAAACTTGATATGTTTATCGATTCTAAATAGCTTTGTAGGATAGAGTAGTCTTGGTTGTAAGTCATTGCTTTTCATCACCTTGAATATCTCTTGCCACTCCTTTCTGACCTGCAAAGTTTCTTTTGAGAAATTGGCTGACAGTCTTATGGGAGCTCCTTTGTAGGTAACAAACTGCTTTTCTCTTGTTGTTTTTAAGATTCTTTCTTTGTCTTTAACCTTTGGCATTTTGATAATGTGTCTTGGTGTGGACCTCTTTGGGTTCATCGTATTTTGGACTCTCTGTGCTTCCTGGACTTGTATGTCTGTTTCCAAAAATAGTATTTTTTTTTTTAAAGGAGTTAATAAATATCTTTCAACATCTACTACGAGCCAGGCACTTATGCAAGTCTCTGTGGAACCACCCATGAACAAGATAGATTTGGCACCTGCTCTAGTATCAGGGGGGAAGATGCTGTGGTAACACTTCAAAGGAGACTGGAGAAGAGTTGTCTTATCCTCACCTCTTCCCCTGACTTGGCCTGCTAGGCTCAGAAGCAAGACACACTAGAATCTTGAGCACTGGCCAGGATGCTCCCTCCCTTTCAGCCTTATTGGGAGAGGATTTGCTTGGTGACTTTCCATGTAAACTATACAATCTATTCCTTCAGCTCCTTTCCAGAATTTCCTAAATAAAATAAAATACTTATGTGGATATATATGCAGAAAACATAAATCACTTACTTCCAGGAATGAAAGGAAGCCTGGTTCTCCTTGAACAACTTATACAGTTTTTCGGTACTTTGATTATTCTCTCAAAAACAATATTCCAGATTCCCTCACTTTCCTATCCTGGTACTTTTGCCTAAAAATCCTCCCTAAGAACTAACCCCACCTCCATCCAAATGAGGGTACAGTACCCTCCTCTCCTACTCTTTATTTCACTCTAATATGTAGCCCCTGCCAGTACTCCCAGCCCGAGAAGAAGAAACCACCAAGGTTCATTTCAGGAAAGATAGGAAGTAAGACATAAAAAGAACTGAGTGACTGAGAGGGGGTGGGGGTGGGGAGTAATTTTCCTTCAATCATCACTCTAATTGCTTTTTACCATTTTAATTCTGAATCTCCTCTAACCTCCTTCCTAATATTGCTCTCCAAGCGCCCTTTCCTTCTCTCTGATTCTCTTATCATTACCGATTAAGGTTCATTGGCGATAATACTACACTGTATTGCATGTTTTCTATACTAGCCTGTTCAAAGAGCTCCTACTTTTAAGTCTAACCTTCATCTATTAGGCAGTAGCTCTAGCCCATTTCCTCTCATTCAAGTAAGAACAATACCGGTGCCTATCTCCTTGCAACCTCTATCCTGTGCTTTCTTCGTACAGTATTTGTCCCTTAGGTTCCAATAGGATCTTCCCCCCGAAGCAGCTCGTCAAGTAGAGAGAGGTAGGATTGCTACTACCCTTTTCCACAAAATAACGAAAGGAAATCGCAGCCAAAGCGCCAAAGAACTCAGAAACTCCTGCCCAGTCCCCGTCTCGGCCAATTCCTCTAAACCCGCTTGAGCCACGCCCAGCGCCGAAGCTGAGGGTTTAGCTGAGAAGGGCTGGAGGACTACAACTTCCTGCAGTTTCCAGCATCCTCGCCCCGCCTCCTGCGCTCCGCCCCTCCGATTCCCCATTGGCCATGGGGGTGGGAGGGGATCAGATGGGAGGTGGCTACGGGGCTGCGGCAGGGGTTTGTCCCCTCCTCGGCTTCCGTAGAGGAAGTCGCGCGGACCTGTATTTGGGGTTTCGGTGCCCCCCCTTCCCCTTCCCCGGGGTCCGGGGGTGACATTGCACCGCGCCCCTAACGGGGTCGCGTCGTCACCCCACGCGGACTCGCTAGCTGGCGTGCCCCTCCATTCTCCTCTCTTGGCCAGGCCTCCACCCCGCCCCCAGCTGCCAAGCAATGGGGGCCGCAGTGTTTTTCGGATGCACTTTTGTCGCTTTCGGTCCGGCCTTTGCGCTTTTCTTGATCACGGTGGCTGGGGATCCGCTTCGTGTCATCATACTGGTCGCTGGGTGAGTAGGGGTCGGCGAGATTCAGGAGGGCGCCGAAGAGAGAGATCCAGAAGGGGCTGATGGAACTGGGGCGAGCCTGGGAGCCAGAGTTGGGGGAGACAAGTCGGAGGTGAAGATTGGAAAGGGCTGAGTCAGGGCTCTGGGTGATTTCCCCCATTCCGCAGTTGGTTTCCGCCTTCCAGGGATCGCCCAGATTCCTCCTATACTTCTTCCGGCGACGTCAGAGGAGGCCCAAGGCCAAGACTCGGGAGGGGGCTGTGGTGACTTCGGGCGGCCCTAAGGGAAGATCCAGGAATGGATATCTCGCCCTACTGTGCTCACACACTCTGACTTTCATTGCTCTGAAGACTTTTAAATCAATCTCTACCCCATCCCCTGCGTCTGGAGCCCTATAGACTCCCTTGGTGGAAACACCTATCTTATTTGCTCCCTATGTCCCTGACCATCAGGAAGTCTAACTTCCACTTTTCATGCTGCAGCTTTGGTTAGTTCCCCTCCATGATTTCTCTGGCTGCCTCTACCCTTGCCTGTCTAATTGCCCCTGTTTTTCCTCAGGGCATTTTTCTGGCTGGTCTCTCTGCTCATGGCCTCTGTGGTCTGGTTCATCTTGGTCCATGTGACTGACCCGTCAGATGCCCGGCTCCAGTATGGCCTCCTGATATTTGGTGCTGCGGTCTCTGTCCTTCTACAGGAAGTTTTCCGCTTTGCCTACTACAAGCTGCTTAAGTAAGAAAATGGATGGTTTGGAGGGGAGAAGGGCAGATTATTGCACAGTGAGAAGTGGGGCACCTTTGGGTGGTGGTTTGGAAGAGGAGGCACAAAGGGAGGATATTAAAGGGAAAGGAACATTCCTGCCTTCCCTCATGTTTTCCCTACCTCACCCCACCTCATCCCAGGAAGGCAGATGAGGGGTTAGCATCTCTGAGTGAGGACGGAAGATCACCCATCTCCATCCGCCAGATGGCCTATGGTGAGCCAGGGAAGAGGGACTGGAGGAGGGTGTTGGACACCCCCCTCTCCCAGGGAAGTCTCTAAACATCCACATGTTCTAAGTGGCTACTTGTCTTCCTTAATATCTGACTTCCAGGGAGAGGTGGTCTGGAGGGAGAGAAGGTGTGGGGAGTTGTGACTGGAACTGGGGAGGGATCACTGGTAATCAGCTTATAGTGATCTCTGACATTGATGAGACCTTCCCTCCCCCCAGTTTCTGGTCTTTCTTTCGGTATCATCAGTGGTGTCTTCTCAGTTATCAATATTTTGGCTGATGCACTTGGGCCAGGTGTGGTTGGGATCCATGGAGATTCACCCTATTACTTCTTGACTTCAGGTAAGATTCCACTTTCTATCTTGCCTTCATACCCCATCCATCCTGGCCCTGACCTTATTTATTGGCCTTCCCTGGGAGACTTCTGTGGCTCAACATCTCAGGAGGCTGGGAGAAGATAAGGGATGTATCTCATCCCCATCTCCCTCCCTGCAGCTTTTCTGACAGCAGCCATCATCCTGCTTCATACCTTTTGGGGAGTTGTGTTCTTTGATGCCTGTGAGAGGAGACGGTACTGGACTTTGGGCCTGGTGGTTGGGAGTCACCTACTGACATCAGGACTGGTGAGTCAGGGACAGGGGCCTGAGTCAGAAAAGAATTTAATGGTGAGTTGGATGGAGGGGAACTATATCTTCACTTCTTAACATTTTAAAACCTATCTTGGGAGCAGGCAGTAAGGTGAGTCTTTAGAGGTCTCTCACTTCAGCATCAGTGATGTAACCTTCTCTGGGGAGGAGTTTGAATGGATTGGCCAAACTGTCAGGCCTGAGGTGAGCAGGAGTGGCAGAAATCTCTGAAGAAGCTAAAAATCAGAAGTCCCTTTAATCACAAGATGGTGGTGCTCTGAAGGAAAGGCCTGGGGGATTTGGATCAAAAGCACAAAGAGTACATGGGGATTAGGCAGAGGGAGAATCTAACCATTTTTCTACTCTTATTCCCATCCTCAGACATTCCTGAACCCATGGTACGAGGCCAGCCTGCTGCCCATCTATGCAGTCACTATTTCCATGGGGCTCTGGGCCTTCGTTACAGCTGGAGGGTCCCTCCGAAGTATCCAGCGCAGCCTCTCGTGTAAGGACTGACTACCTGGACTGATCACCTGACAGATCCCACCTGTCTGCCCACTGCCCATGACTGAGCCCAGCCCCAGCCCGGGTGCATTGTTCACCATTCTCTGTCTCCTTCTCATCAGTCTGTCCTGCCACCTTCAGGGTTTTGCTTTGTCCACTGGAGACCTTTAGGCTTTACCAGGAGCAGCCTGGGTTCAGCCAGTCAGTGACTGGTGGGTTTCAGTCTGTACTTATCCCCACTATCTGGGGACCCCTTTGTTATCCAGGACTTTCCATGTGTCAGTGGTCTGCTTTCACCCTGCCCAAGACTCACCTCCCTTCCCCTCTGCAGGCCGACGGCAGGAGGACAGTCAGGTGATGGTGTATTCTGCCCTGCGCATCCCACCCGAGGATTGAGGGAACCTGGGCGGGGGACCCCTGTGCCTGGGGTGCTCCCCTGATCTCCTCGCTCTGTATTTCTCCATCTCCAGTTCTGGACAGTGCAGGTTGCCAAGAAAAGGGGTCTAGTTTAGCCATTGCTATGAAGATTAAATTAATGGAGGCTCAAGGTTAGATGAGCTCTGAGTTTCCTAGTACCCCCTCCCCAGACTGGACTTTTTGTTTTTTTTTCTCAGGTCTGAGGGGAACAATTTTTGGTGTGATAAAGACCCCAAACTGCCTTTTTCTTTTCATTTTGGAGAAGGGAAAGGGAGGAGGTATGTTGGACTTCTAACCTCCTTGGACTATATTTTCCCTCCTCAGATTGCTCCTTATGGCTGGGCTCATATCTGTCACCCTTTCCCCATGGTCCCAGGCCTTGGGGGAAAAGAAGGAAATGCATGTTTGGGAACTGGTGTTACTGGAACTAATGTTTTAACCTCCTTGACCACCAGCATCCCTCTCCCCGAGGTGAAGTGGAGGGTGCTGTGGTGAACTGGCCCACTCCAGAGCTGCAGTGCCACGGGAAGAATCAGCCTACCATGACATCGTAGGGAAGGAGGGCAGATTTTTTTCTAGTTTTTAATTGGGGGTGTGTGGGGGTGGGGTGGGGAGGTTTTCTATAAACTGTATCATTTTCTGCTGAGGATGGCATGTCCCATCCTTTTAATCAAGGTGATTGTGATTTTGACTAATAAAAAGGACTTTATAATTGCGGGGGAATGTGCCTTTTAAGGAAGAGGATAACATGTTAGTTGAGATTTCTGTCCTCTCAAGTCTCTTGTCCAACCTTCTTCTTAACTTGGCACCTCTGCTCCCCTCCTAGCCTGGGTTTGGTGCAAGGGCAGAAATCTGGGTTGGTGGTTTTACATGTCAGAAACTTTGGGTTAAGCATTTCCAGGGTCTCTCCTTCCAGGATTGGGGCAAAAGAAGTTACTCACCCATGTTTCTTTTTCCCTATCCTTTGCCCACCTCTGCCACCTGAGGGATTAAGGAACTCTCCCACTCTCAAGAGTCCCAAAGGTAAAGCCAGAGGTGGGTCAGAAACTTTAATTTCCAAATATATTGAGCAAAAATATAACCCCCCAAACAGCAGCCCTTTTTCCTAAGGGGATATCTTGCCCATATCTAGCGAAAAGGACATAAAGGAGAGGTGGTGGGGGACTTTGGAGCACATTTCCAACTTCCCTACAACTAAATACAGTTTGCCCTCTGCATTATCAATGTAGGGGTCTCCTGATCTACGTTTTGAGAGACTGAAGGCTCAGCTGTCCTTCCTTGAATGAGAGCCTTCTATGACTGTCTGGAGGAAGGAGGGGTGTCTGCCTACTTCTTCTACAGTATTTCTGGCCAGTCCCTGCACCCTATCTAGAAGCTCCCTGACAGGTGTGATGGGAAGGCATCCATGATGTCCAAGAGGGAGTCTATGCCTCGCTGACTTGTGCTGAGGTGAATACCACACTCTTCTGGTTTCCCAACATCTTCTTCCTGGAAGGGGGAATGGTTCATGGATATGACTTGTGTCCTAGGCAGCATTCCTAAGTGGAATAAGAGAATGCTTTTCAGTAGAAAAGAAGGGACTAGAGGAATAGAAAGTAGGACCTTACCGAATCTTCCTAGCGATGAAATAAACAGCCAGCAGAAGGCAGAGACAACCAACCAAAATTCCCATTCCGAGGCTCAGCATTTCACCTGGGAGATATAAAGATGGAAGGTGTCAGCCTAGGACTGACAGATATCAAGTCCTTTCCTTGCTCACTGAGGAACACCTCCCCCCTACCCCAGCCGGGTAGGGCTGTCTTACCTGTGGTATACGCTGATTCTGCTGTAAGGGAAGAAAGTTCGGGTCAGTAGGACTTCAGATCCCCATCCCCGCTGGGAGCAGCACACTGTGCCTCTATACCTGGGGAAGTCACCTGGCCACTCAGTCCAAACGAGCCCTCGAAACCTTTACCCTCTTAGCCTTCTTTTCCTTCCCAGGGGCTTCCTAGTTCCTGCTGTTGAGACCCTCCAGTTTCCCATCTCCTTTTCTGAGCCTTGTACAATCACCTTGGATGAAAGAAGCAAAGACCTTTCTCTGATTGAGAGGCTGGGGGGCTCGGTAGTTCTGTACCAGGAGTTTAGAGGACTCCTCTGTGGAGAACAATGTCTCCTGAAGCTTTTCCAGCTAGAAGAGTGGGAATAGAGGAGAAATGTCACTTAGGTGTGGGAAAGGGTCTGGGGATACAGCTTTGTTTCTGCTGCCTCGCCTCTCCACTACTCACCTGTGCCATTGAAATCTGGGCCCTTCGATGGAAGACTGTCCAGAGCACACTCTGGTAACAGGGGGGCGTGGTGAGTGAGCCATTGTAGCGGAAGAACTGCGCCAGCATTGGGGGCAACAGCTCTCTCAGGCTGAAGGGAAGCACTGACGTATTCTGACCTGGGGGAGAACAGACCAGGATCATCTTCCTCCCGGCACCCTAGCTTACCTAGACAGGGCTCCCAGAAGTGAAACTCCTGGCCTCTTAACTCACTCCCTCATCTCAGGCCTCTTAGTCTTCTTTTTTTTTTTTTTAAGTGTCCCTGAAGTTTAATCTTACTTTGTCCTAAAATAGATTTTTAGGGCTCACCTTTATACCTGATTTCATGCAAGTGACTCAGAATGTGTTCATAAGCTGGATTTTTGGTCTCACCCACCTGGAAGGAGAGGGAAAGGAGGGAGTTTGACATGAGTCCATGTTTAGAGTAAGATATTCATGTAGAGAATAAATAGTCAGCATGGTTGCTGACTTGTCTTGGTAGGAAGACCAACAACAGTCATGGGCAGAACAGGACTGAAGGATGCAGAGGGAGTGAAGAGATACCTGGAAGCAAAGTGGGGGCCACTAACCTCAATGAGGATGCCCAAGACAGCCAGGCCCTGAGGCCTCTGGGCAGCCTCACTCAAGCTGTCATAGGAATCAGAATCATAATGTACGATGTGGAGCTGAGGAGAGAGGGAATGGAATCATTTAATGTTTCTTCACTACCCCCTCCCAAAGGCTTTGACTTTAGCCACCACCACCACCTTCAGCATGCCATAAATCTGTCCCACAAGGGTTGGCATTATTCTCCAGGTATGACTTTGTCAGTTTCTAGATCCTCTTTTTCCCTAGCACCGACCATGCCTGTAACCGTGTCCTAGTTCAAGCTTCGCTTCCTGGTACCTCTGCAGCTGTGGCTTCGCTGTTGATTTGGTGCTCTGACCCCCTTGGGAATCCTTTCTGACCCCAGTGCAGGTGGAGCTGGACAGCTACATATTTCCGGGGAAGTCCTTCCAGATACAGGGTAGGAGGCAGAGAGAGTTGCACTGTGGGGAAAAGAGAGCAAGCTGGGGTTGGTGGAGGAATGTGGGCACATCCCCACCCCTGGGTTGCCACCAATTGAGAGACTTTTCAGTCTTCCTCCACCAATAGCACCAGTTCTTCCCATAGGCCACTGCTTTTCTAGAATACCTGTCTCAGTGAAGATCAAGTTGATGCTGTTAAACTAATCTACCCATAGAGCTTGGTCATAGACATTCAGTTTCCACCTGCCCACAGGAGCCTCCTCCCCATTCTCACATCTCCAAATTTATAGAGGAAGCCTTCTCTGAATTGAGAAATTAGGAGAATGCTTCTTCCCCCTGAGAGACTTGTAAGGTTGGAACTGGAGCTTTTACTTCCTTAGAGCCTGGGTGTTTACCTGTGTGGCCATTATTGTGCAGCTCCAAAGGCTTGGTGCCCGGCTGGTCATATCCGTGTGGCTGCAGAGGAGGCAACTCTGGGTCAAAAGTCACACTGTCTGTCTGGATATTGATGGGGGACTGGGCGTTGCTTCCACACTCAGGGTAAGAGGCTGGCCAGTGGTGTTGACCATGTGGGCCTGGTGGAGGTTACCACAGACGTTTGTCCCGCCCTCCAGCCCCAGCCACCCTTCAGCAATCCCCCCACCAAGTGCTACCTCTGTGTGGAGGTAGAAATGCATTTCCTTCCACCCCAGGTGAAGACCCCAGTTTTGTACAGCTGGGTTGGGCGAGGTAGGAGGCCCTGCTGGACCTGAGGCTTCCGTTCCCTCCACCTACCCTGAGGCAGTGGTGATCTCCAGCTCTCCTGATAAATGGGGGCTAGTGACTTTTATTTACCTGTAGTTTGAGGACAAGAAAGCTGACTGAGAGGAAGAGGGGCTAGATAGAGTGCTTATATACCCAACAAGGGGGCATTAGAGTAGGAGCAGGAAAATAGGAGAAATAAAAATGATCCTAGAGAGGCAGGGTCTCTGGGACTCCCTATTAAGTGGCCTTGTTATTTAGATCTGCTGACTTCTTCATTTGCTGTTTGCTCTCACACTGGACCTTGCATTGATTCTGGAATTCAGTTACGTTATTAATCAGAAGTTCAAAGGAATTGAGTTCCACCTCCACCAGAATCACAAACTATCCTGCCAGCCTCTGCCTTACCCCTGACCTCAAGTTCAGTCCCAATTCCAAATGCAGGTTGGGGGTAGAATCGATTAGGATAGAAAGAGCTGGGAGGTGAATTGGCAGCTAAGCTCATCGTTCATTTTCTCTATCCAGTTTTCTTTCCACCCCAACTCCCTCATCCGGCAAACTGAGGACATAACTGGCTTTTCTGCTGAATCAGGAGGTATGGGATTTGATGATTAGAACAGGGTCTAGGAGTCACATATCCAAAACTTAGGGCATGAGGAGATGGGGGAGGGAAGGAGCTAGGGTGAGAAGCTAAAGGAAACCATACAACAAATATCTTCCTGCCAGATGAAGAGGTCCCAGTGTGAAAGGGGTGTAGGTAGGCCTTGGGTTCAGCTCTCACCCTCATATGTCCAGTGTTGACCTGTAAGGCAGAGTAATTTGAGTTATAGCCAGCGCTGCCTGGGGCAGAGCCCTCCCTCTGGTACTCTGTACCACGCCACCTCCCTCTCTGCTCCAGCACTTCCCAAAGGAAGCCCTGAAACTGGACACCTCGGTGGAAAGGTCGGGGGCCTATTTAAAATCACCAGCCAGGCTGTGCTCCTGCTTGCTGTGTAAAAGGGGAGGAGAAATGAAAAGAGATAAAGCCTGAAGACTAAAATTAACCTGGATCCAAGTGTGTAGTCTACCCAACACTCACTTTTCCCCAGGACTGTGCCAAGCCAATCTAACACTTAGAAAATTGGGCTGAGGTGAGGTGTGGGGGCAGGGGGTTTGGAGGAAAGGGATGGGCAGGGGAGGGAAAAGAAGTTCAGAGTGGAAAGCAGTGTTACTGAGGGGAGAAGAGAGATTATTCCTTTGCTTTGAAGCATTGCAGGAATCAAGGCACTGAGCTGGAAGTGAACATTTAACTTCCTCCCTCTGGTCCCAGTCACTCTAAAGGAAACTCCTCATCACCAGGAGCCTCTGCTCCCTAGATTCCCAGATGGCTAGGGAAGGCAGGAGTCAGGCCAGGGTCCACTCTACATTGAGGGTGGTGGGTGGGTACAGGCAGCCAGGCTGGCAGAGACAGGATGAAAGTGAAGCATTGTGTGCGGAAAAGAGAGCTGCCAGCTGGGTCACATGCCAGGCTCTCTGCAGTCCTGTCTGGGGCTGAAAGGCAGAGGGTCTGCTGGTCCAGCCCTCACCTCACCCAGGGCCAAACTGCTTCAAGGGGAAAAGGGAGTCCTTGCAGGTTATCTCTACATTACTCAAATTGCTAGAAACTTTGGAGAAAAATCGTAAATTTCTTCCTTTCTCTCTTTTATTCCCTTAAATTCCTCAGACTGCTAAGATATCCTTGATCTCAGTCTTGGGCTCGTCCACTAGCCCATCCCTCGCTTCAGACAGCAGTGAAAAGCAGCCCAAGGGAGTGCAGGAGGCAGCCTCTCATTCACCAGCACAGTGGGACATCCCTTCAGTTTGAGTCTCTGGTTCTCTGTAGGGACAGCCTTGCCCTTTCCCTCCACCAAATCCTGAACACACTAATTCTACATCTCTTCCTGGGGACTCTTTCCCTGTATATTTTTTCTTTTCCCCATCATCCTATCTGGATTCCACTTCTGCTCTCTAGACAACCCCCTTCAGCCTGTTCTTCCAACAGCTCTTCATTACACACCTACTGTGTGCTGGGTACTGCTCGAGGCACAGGAAATATAAAAATGAGGGGCGGGGTTCCTGGGGATGCTCCTAAAGCACCTCAGTCTAAGAGTTCCTCCTTAGCTCCTGGGAGCTCCTTAAAGTCCTTTGTAAAATGTAAAGGACCCAACAGTGTTGACTATCATTGCTACTGCATTCAGGGAAAAACTGGGATATCAGTCATTCCATAAACTCAGAGGGAACTTTGGCCATGATGTTCATAGTCGGGGATCAGGATCTAAGTTAGGCGGTGACATAGGGTATGCCCCTCCCCACCATAGTCCTTTATTGTTTCACTCCAGGGCTCTCTGGCTCCCTAACTGAAGGAGTTCGTAAATAAAGAAGGCCAGGAGGGCTGCCTGGGACTAGGGCAGTGAGGGAAAGAGCTCTGGAGAGAATCTGTAGCTTGCACAGAGATTCCAGAGTGTGTGTACCCATCCTGCCTCCACTGGCTTTCCCCTATCCTCACTAACAGCAGGGCTGGGAAGTAAAGGGAAAAGAAGGAAAGTGGTCTCCCCCACACCCCTCTGTTTTCCTCCCAATCGCCTGAGTCTGTTTTTCTAGCCCCTATGCTTCCTTTTGCACTCCTCTTCTCCCGTTAAGCTTGCGTAAGGACAAGTGGATATCAGCACAGACAGACACAGGCATTCGGATGTACCTACCCCCGAAAGCAGCCAGGATCCAAATCACCTCTAGCAGGAGCATGAAGAACATCATGGTATCCTCAGAAGGAGCACAAGGTACTGGGAGTTTGGAGACCAGAGGACCAGAACACCAGAGCAGAGAAAGAAAGAGAGAGAGAGAGAGAGAGAGAGAGAGAGAGAGAGAGAGAGAGATATTCCTGAAGTGGAATGTATTTATCTCTTTTCTCTTGCTGTCTCTGTGTCTCTGTGGGCTTCCAGGACAGTTGGTTTTCAGTAGGCTACCGCGGGTTTTGAGGTCCCCAGGACAAATCTCACAGCCTTCTCTCTCTGCCCTCTCTTTTTTATCTCCCTCTGCAGTCTCTACTCTACTTGCTGGCCAGCGACTTCACAATTGCCTTCTGCTTTTAAGGTGGCTCTGGATAGGTGTACATGGGGAGCGGGGCTGCCTGGGTTGCTGGCCAACAACTCCTTAAATAGCTGATTAGGCGAGCAGGATGGCCCTGCTCAGAGCACTAGCGTCCCAGTCCTGCGTTTCACCGGAGCCCTGGCCCTGGCTCAGGAGCCCAGCTGGGGTGAGCTCTTCTCTCCTCTGCTTTTCACACAGATACTGTTCAGACCGGTGTCCCCTGGAGCGGGAGGGGCCAGGGAAGAAGGGCTTTGGGGTTCAATCCAGCCTGCTCAGTGGGACGCTGGGTTCTCATTCCCCAGCTAGTTCCTCTGAGGAGCAACTCCCTGGGTGGTACGGAGCAGACAGTGGGAGGACCTGTTCCCAATCTTCTACAGAATTTGAGCTCGCCTGGGATATGAAGAGCCCAGAGTTAGGAGATAGTAACGAGGAGTTGGGAGATTCAGGGTAGAAGTTAAGAACTAAAACCTGGGTTGTGGAAAATAAAGAAGAGAGCAAGGCAAAGAGAACTTGTCTGGAGTGCCTGACACCACCCGCTTCCCACGGTGAGGCCTGGGTCCACGTGCCTGTTTGGCCTGGGTGGGGGGTGGTTTTGTTTGTTGTATAAAGCCCATTTGTGTGCCCAGTGGGGGAGGGGCTGCAGCAGCACCATGGGGAGACAGCGGCTCCAACTGCCAGACCCAGCCACCTCCCTCCCCAGGGAGTCCAGATCTAGGGCAGCTTTTGTCACTGAAAGGGATACTAACCCCTGGTAGGGAGGCCAGGGCAGGAAGAGAAGTGGGGAGACCTTAGAAACAATCACTGCCATCATCAAAAAGAGGCGGACTCCAGAGAAAGAGAGGGGAGGGAGCAGAGAGAGACCATGTGATCCAATGGAAGAGGGGCCCGGGGTCTTCCCTCCTGCCCAACAAAGGGCTGAGGCTGGACATTCGGGACTAAGTGAAACCTAGCCACCAGGGATCTGGGCGAGCTGGGCTGTGTCAGGAATGTGGGCTGCTGCTTGGTCCCCCATGGGACTGGAAATCCTGATTGGAATGTACACTATAAATCCTTCATTAGAGAATGTGGAACCCGCAGATAATTTCAAACGAGACATTGAAATTTTTCTCCTCCATACCCTTCATCAGTCACCAGCCAGGAAGATGCTCCCGTCTGAGCCCCCTCTGCCCTCCTTGCTCCTGCTAAATAGCAATAAATAGTCAGAACAAAGGAAGCAGCAGCTAAATAAGGTAGCAGGATAAAAGCCAAATGAGCAGAGTAAGGTATGTGCAGGATCATCAGCGCCTGCAGAGGCAGGAGCCTGCCATGCCTTTCTGTGATTGATCTGCAAAGCCATTTTGCAGATGCCATTTCCTTTTCAATTCTCTCATCACCTTCTGAATTATTTTTTTCTTACAGGAAAGTTTTGTTTTGAGGTTCCCATGAAGTCCCCACTCATCTCATTTAAGAAGAATTAATGGTAATTAATGTAAAGTGTAAATTAGACTTCCTGGGAATGAGGATAGTTATTACAGAGGAACAAGAAGGGGAAAAAAAGAAGAGAAAAGAAAAGAAAGCAGAGACATCTTGCGTGTGGTATGAAAGACGGGTCCTGAACAGAGTGACCTCAGAGTTCCCAGGGAGCGCCTGGGGCTGTGATCCAACTTCCCAAGGCAGGTAGGGTGTCTTGCCAGGTGCCACTTCCTGGTTTTCTATGAACTTTTTAATTTTTAATATTTTAATTTAAAATGTTTTATGTGTGATTCCTTCTGGGAAGTGTTTCACTGCTGGTGGGCTTTGGGATTTTTGTCTACACAACTGAACATTGTTTCACAAAGATATCTTGGCCCTAACTCAGCACTTTCTCACTTCCGAGTGAGCAGCCCCTCCAGGCCCTTGTGCTTCCCAAAAGGAAAAGCCCTGGTTTCTAGGAGAAAGAAGGGAGACAAACACGGTCCTCCAGAGATTTGCCTTTATTTTGATCTTTGGTTCTGGTGTGGGTATTTCTGATGTCACCGGGTAGATATCAAGAGGAGCCTTATATGTTAAAAAAAAAAAAAAAAAAAAAAAAAGCTTTCTATCCTCTTAGTTGCTATTCAAATTCTGGCACCTTTGTTTTAATTCCTACTTCACCCTCTGCAGTCCATGCCTTGGGGTTTGGATAAAACCCTACAAAAACCGGGGCACTTGGCTGCCTTCTGGCGCCATCTCCTGTCCTTTCTAAAGTAGTGAAATGTGAACAGGTTAGAATAAAAAATGTCCAAATGTCCAAAAATGACTTTTTGGTTTGTTTTTCCTTAAAAGGTCCTTTTTAAAAAGGATATTTAAACTCATTAGATATCCCAAATAGTCTAAGACATCTTCCTGGAACCCATTAAATCTCTGAGTTTGTATGGGGAATATCCGAGAGGTCAGTGAGGAAGGGAGGCAGGTCAAAAGGAAAGAAGAATGGTTAATACAGGAACTTACTCAAGAAGTACAGGTGGTAACTAATTGCTGAGAAGAGAGAATCAACAAGGAGACAGAATTAGATAGAATTCAATTTTATAAAAGTTCAAGTGACTTTTTTCCATGAAGTAATAGACCCAGAGAGCCTAACTGGATAGATAATCACATTTATTATCACATGCTTGTCTTTGAGCACATTGGTACTGAAGCCCCTTAGGCGAACACAAAAGCTCCAAGAATTAAAATCAAAGTAATTTGGGGGAGGGGGCGGTGGTCAGAACTCTGGATCACTGTCTCAGTTTTACAGTTCACATGCAGGACAGATGCAGTATAAGAACCCTGTAGAAAGAGGGCAGGTAAGAATTTGTGGTCTGACATGTTGCAACTTTCATTAAAAAGGAGTAATTTTGTGTCATGAATTTATTCCATGCCCAGAACACTGCCTGGTACATAAATATTTGCTGATTGAATGAATGAATCTAGTCATTGGGACATTTATTTACTTTTTTTTTTTTTTTTACTTTTGGTATTTCGCAGAATTTTAGACTAGAAGGGTCCTCAGGCATCATTCCAGTTCCCTTATTTATCTTGGAAAGACTGAGTTTTGAGGGACTTAGGGATTTTCCTGTGGTTTGTCATGTAGTGGCTAAACTGAACCAGAGCAAGGACACAGGTACCACTGAACTTTCTCCTGTACCACTGCTTCTCAAATGTTAGTGTGCATCAGAATCATCTGGAAAGTTTATTAAAATACAGTTTTCTGGGTCTCCCCCTTGCACAGTTTCTGATTCTATTGGTCTGGGGTGTGTACAGAGATTTGCATTTCTAACCAATGCAAAGTGATGCTGAGCTACTGGTCTGAGGGGTCACACAAGAATGAATGCTCTACACCCACTGGAGAAGCAGAGGTGGTAGGGGGTTTACCATTCTTTGTAGGGATTTCAGCCATCTGGAATTGTTCTTTGCAGTCACTTTTAGAGAGGTTAGCAACAATAACTTCATTAGTTACAAACATATATGGAATACTTCTAGGTGCTAGGCACCATGCCAGACCCTAGAAACAAAAAGTTAATAAGATATAATACTTGCCCTCAAGAACTTCACAGTCTCTTAGGGGTTGTAGATACCTTACCGAATTACTGGAATACAATGGTGAGAAGTTCTTAAATAGTGGTAGGGCAAAGTGTTTATGGGAACCAAGGCAGGTGAACAATTAGCAATGAGATTTTTACCTAATGTCAACAGTCTTTCCCCAGGATGGGATCATAACTAGGTTCTATAGTTATACATAAGAACATAAAAATTGCTACTTCAAGGAAGGCAGACTCATGCGTCACTGTCTCTGAGGGTGACACCAAATGATAGGTTATGTCAAAGCAGGATTCTCCTTAATATAGCTAATCAACTGCTTCCTTTGCAAGGAGGAAGGAAAAAGGATATCATGGTGCCCTAGAGTTGTAATTATTTGTTCCATCTGCTCCAGTGGCCACTTCATTCTGCCTGTCTTCTCCCTTTTCTTCTTATTCTCTACCATTTGTCTAACTCAAATGATGGCTGTGTACCAACCCAAGCAAGAGATATTAACACTTTTCTTTTTTTTTAATCCTCACCTGAGGACATTTTTCCATTTTTTGTTCAGATAGAGTGGGAGGGAGAGAGAGGGAGAGAGAGAGAGAGAAATATCGACGTGAAAGGGACACATCGAATGGCTGCCACCCACACAACCAACCAGGGCCTGGGACAAACTGCAACCAAGGTACACACCCTTAGCGGGAACCGAACCTGGGTCTCTCTGGACTGCAGGCCGACGCTCTAACTGCTGAGCCAAACTGGCCAGGGTGAGATATTAACACTTTTTACACTTCCCTTCAATGGTTTGAAGATTCTAGTTAAAGATAATTTTTTCTTTGATTTTGAAGAAACTTTTATGTCTGAATTGCTATAGGAATAGAAATTAGAGATTAATACCAAAGTCTTGTGACAATGGGTAGCTTGTTAGTGGTTTAAATCATCCCCCAAATAAGAAGTCTGTTCTCGGATCAGAATGTGACAAATGATTTGAATGTCTTTGAAACCTTATAGCAAAAGAGCTTGCTGTGCTTTCGCTGACATTTTGCTCTCAAAATATTTATACATTTTTTTCAAAAGGATATGAGTCTTGAAGGGTAAAGTGACTTGGCTGAAGTCACATAGAAATATTAATAGGACAAACAACCAGGCTCTGACCTGACCCCTCACTCAAGATGTGTTAAAATAGTTTAAAAGTACAAACCTTTAAAGAAAATAGAGGGAAGTTCTGGCTCAGTTAATTCTCTGTAGTAGTTGAGGAGGCATTGCTTTGAAGAGGAAATACAAAAACTAATAAACCTTTTTTTAAAAGCTTCAAGTAATTTCTAAGGCAACATCTACTAACGTGAAATGCAATTATTAATGAGTTCATAGACCCTCATTCTCCCCATTGTTTTACCATCCAGCTTGTGTTTTATTTCATGTATTACATATCTTTTATTTAGTAACACTATCACAGCTTGGTTATAAATCCATGCACTTTGGGAAGGATTGACCCTTTTGCTCCTTATTGAAAATAATAAAAAGGAAACAGTTACTTGGAGTTGGCTTCAGAACAGTAGAAAACATCAGATATTGGCAATGGCATGTCACTTTTCCTCTTATTATTTTAAATTATAGAAGTAATAGCTGATTAGTTTAGGGAAAATAGAAGATTCAAAAAAATAACATCATTCAAAATTCTCACAATTACAGATAACCACTATTAACATCCTAATATCTTACAGTCTTTTCTGTGAAGCCACATCTAAATGTATATATTTTGTGTGTAAATATTGTATTTTTTACAAAAATAGGACCATACTATATACATGATTAGCTTATAAACTTTTTTCTAACTCTATTTTGTGAACATTCTATGTCAAAAATTTAAATCCCTGTCATCAGCCCTGGCTGGTTTGGTTCAGTGGTTAGGGCGTCGGCCTGCGGTCCAGAGAGACCCGGGTTTGGTTCCCGCTAAGGGCATGTACCTTGGTTGCAGTTTGTCCCTGGTCCTGGTTGGGTCGTGCGGGTGGCAGCCACTCGATGTGTTATTT